TATATATATATTCTGTTAATAAAACTTCAACTTAGGAAAACAATTTTTATAGTGTTATTGAAATTTAAAGTGAAACTATTTAGGGTATTACCACTACATAAAAAACAAATTCCAATGACAAAACCAAATTGCTCTAAATGTTCTGACAGTAATCAGTATAATTGTGTCCTGAATACCTGAATCAGGTTCCAGTCTTAATATGCAAATCAGATCAAAGGTGTGTCAGCAGGTTTATTCTGCTCTGACGCAGGTTTCATAGTATGTGACCACAGAGTTTATAAATAAAATAATTAGTGTGCAGGAATGTTGAGATGCTTTTAAAGTCTCATTATGCAAAATACTTTGATAGTCCAAATTTCAATATGAAATTAAAATATTAGAGTTAATTTTAGTTTATCAGAACCCTCGATGAAATTAAATGCCAACCACATCAGGAAACCTCTCCAGGAATWGAGAAATYGAGGCGCCTCCCTCACCGGTGARCACCTGGTGGTTGAGCCTTGGCTCCTTGGGCTCATCCGGAAAGGACAACGGGAGGCCACCTCCATGTGGTCCCACCACCTGYAGGGAGGACCTTCAAGGTCAGGTGTAATGCATGTCTGGGCAGCAGGCAAAGGAGGGTCCCTGGCCATGCCGATTCCTGGTGGCAAACAWTGACTYTAGGGACATGGAACATAACCTCAGTCGCGGGTAAGGAGCCAGAGCTTTGGGGTGAGGTTGAGCATTACCAGCTAGATATAGTTGGGCTCACCTTGACTCACAGCTTGGGCTTTGGAACCTAACTCCTGGAGGACTGGACTCTCCTACTCCGGAGTGGCCCAGGGAGTGAGGCGATGGGTGGGCGTGGGGATTCTCACAAGCCCCCGGCTGTGTGCCTCGGTGTTTGAGTTCACTCCAGTGGACTAGAGGGTTGCTTCTCTGCGGCTTTGTGCTGCAGGAGGGAAGGTTCTGACTGTTGTTTGTGCTTATTCACCAAACATCAGTTCAGATTACCCGGCCTTTTTGGAGTCCTTGGATGGTGTCCTGGAAGGGGTGCCATCTGGAGGCTCCCTTGTTCTGCTGGGTGACTTCAGTGTCCATGTGGGCAATGACGGAGTTATCTGGAAGGGGGTGATTGGGAAGGGGGTGATTGGTTCCCTGATCTGAACCTGAATGGTGTTCTGTTATTGGACTTCTGTGCTAAGGGTTGTCCATAATGAACACAATGTTTGAGCATAGGGTGGTCCACATGTGTATTGGTACCAGGCCACCATAGGCCAAACGTTGATGATCGATTTTGTAATCGTGTCATTGGACCTGCAGCCCTATGTCKTGRACACTCAGGTGAAGAGAGGGGCAGAGCTGTCAACTGATCACCACCTGGATGTCGGACAGACCTGGTAAACCCAAACGCATAGTGAGGGTGAACTGGGAATGTTTGGCAGAGACCCCGTCCATGTGATCTTCRATTTTCACCTCCAGGTAAGTTTTCACGTGTCTTGGGGGAGGTCAGGGACATGGAGTCTGAATGGGCCATGTTCAGGGCCTCCATTGCAGATGTGGCTTCCAGGAGCTGTGACCTGAAGGTCATCGGTGCCTGTCACAGCTACAACCAAAAGACCGGTTGGTGGACACCAGCAGTGATTGAAGCCGTCAGGCTGAAGAAGGACAGCTTCTGGATTGGATTGGATTGGATTTCCCAGAGGACTCCTGAAGCAGCTGACAGGTACAAGGTGGCAAAGAGGGTCGCAGCTTCGGTGGCTGCAGATGCAAAAACTCAGGATGGGAAGAATTTTGGGAGAACATGGAGAATGACTTTCAATTGGCCTCGAGGAAATTCGRGATCCAGACTGAGGATATTGTTGGGCGGTGGAAGGAACACTTCGAGGATCTCCTGAATCCACCCTTCATGTCCACCTTTGAGGAGGCAGAGTCTGAAGACTCGGGGGAAGACGAGTCCATTACCATGGCAGAGGTCACAGAGGCAGTCCAAAAGCTCCTTGGTGGCAGRGYGCCRGGGKTGSATGAGATTTGCCCCAAGATGCTGAAGGCTCTGGATGTTGTGGTGCTGTCAAGGKTGCTCTCTTCAACATTGCTTGGAGGACTGGGACAACTCCTGTGTTTTGGGTTTCCTAAGATTTAATATATTCCACTCTCCCATTGTCAAACAAACCAAACTAAAAACACACAAAMGTTTCAGGAAATGTTAATCGCAGCTGATTAAAGTTTGAAACATGTCTGAGCAGATTCAAAAAACTCTGCTGTCTGTCTGTTAGCAAYTGTTAGCATACGACCACCGGCTACAGCCTGGATCTCCATGCCGCCGAMTGAGTGCTTTCCCCCAGTCAAARGACAGCGAGTCGTGCCAGTCGCTTGAGCTCTGCGTCCTGGGGGAGGAGCCAAACCCACAGTGCCTGGATTCATATAATCAGACAAACAAATGATTGGTAAGTGCCTTCCAACCTACTAGGGCGTAGAGGAGGGACAGTCTGGACACACTGTATGGGACTGATAAGCGCTAATTATGTCCATTTAATGTAATGAAAACAAATGAAGCAGGTGCACAAGTAAATCACTTCAGTCCACACTAACCAATAGGGACATCTCCTACATAGTTCCTCCTTAGGCCCCACCTCAAATGTCCATTTTCTCTGAGTTCAGAGCTTTTTTTGAGTTCAACCAAAAACTTAGAACATCAACCAAAAGTTTGAGATTCAACCAAAAATTTCTGACATGAAAAATAAAAG